GCTACGGCCATCCCGCTGCTGACGTACTGTCATATACTGCGCGCAGCCAGACCTCGGGCTGCCACCGCCGCCACCCGCCCCACCCTCAGGCCTCGCGCCCCGCCCCGGGCTCGCCTCATTGGCCCGATCCTCCTCATAACCGCCCTCATTGGCCGCTTTTCACTCTCACGGGGGCGGAGCCCAAAGTCGCCGGAGTTTTGCTCCCGGGACGGGACGTCCGAGAGGTGAGAGGCTGACGTCGAGGTGACGCGCCAACAAAATCACATCTGACGTCACGTCTAGTCGTCTTGGCTCACTGGCCGCGATTGGCCAGGCTGATTTGGGGGATCCCCCGCTAATTGGGTATCCGGGTTGCCTGGTCTGGTTACCTGGAGTCGGAGACCCGCCCCTTGGGGGATAGATGTGGAAAGTCGGGAAGGTAGGGGAGAGTCTCTTCCTGTGCTGAGGATCATTGGAGAGGAGTAGCCCCCCAAATGTGTGACCAAGTAAGGAATTCGTCCCCCGACGGCTGCGTTACCTGGCATAGTTTGGTGTGTGAGTGTGAGGAACGACGCAGTAGGCGGAGTCACTGGAGAGTCTCTCCCCAAAACTAACTGCTATTCTTGAGCTGAGGAAATTGGAGAGGGCGCCCTTCTTTTAACCCTACATTTGAAAGCCTAAAATAGAAAGCCAAGGGGGGTTTTTATGAGCTGTGTTAGATTGTGGAGCGTCTTAAGTACAACACCATGCCTGAGGCTCAAATCCCTTTGGTGTGGTGGATATAGTACTATAGAAAACGGAATTTAAAGGTTTTTCCCACGTCATGCCCTGCTGTGATACCAGAGGAACATACTCCGTTCCTTGGGAGCTCGTCCTTGGGGCAGGGTTGTGCCTTTTTATGGAACTTGGAGAGGCAGTTAGGGTTGGGGTGGTATCTCCTTTCAAAGGGCGGTAGAAGAGTATAACTGGCCTTGACCTAAATTAAGAGAAACATCGACACCTCTCATTCTCTGGCTCGTCCGAGTTTCGTTCATTTTATTTGACTTTGACAGGGATGTGGGAAAACCTAGCTAGGGCTTAAGCTATTGATGCTAAGTTGAAGAGACGGGTGGGAGTGTGAGGGGGAGCGAAGGCTGGGCATACCTTCCATTCCTCGCGATGCTCTCTGTGTAGGCGTGGCTAAAGGAAGGAGCCTAAAGAGCCCTCTTCAGGCTGTATCTGTGTCAGTGTGGATAGACTGACAAGGCTTCCTGTCAGAGAAGGTGAATTAACTGAGGAACACCAGATTAAAACAAACCAATAAATGGTTGAAACTGTTGCAAGGCTGTTTTTTAAAAGTTTGCTTTTTTGTTTTTTAATTTGAGGCGATTGTTTCCCTCAGATTGTTAAACATTGTTGAGTTTTACAGGGGTTCCCCAGAACAACTGATAGACATTTAATCAATATTTCCCATCATTTTAAATTGGGTAGGGCTATGCTTTTTAGAAAGGTCCATGTGAGAGTTTGTCATGACTCATCTCCCACCAATTTATTAAAAATCCTCCAGCCTACATATACACTACCTTTTGATTCAGACTCTCAAGCATTGTATGTGTGTAATATGAATTACAGAATGAATTCTCCTTGCATAGAATATGGGTTAAGTGGAAACGCCTGTATTAAATGTTGTTACATCACAGGAGAGCATTTTAAAAGTTAACTTAATTTCAATCCACTAGATTCAGCTAGCTATTAAGATGTGATTAACACTTGTTAATTTAGTTTACTAGAGTGTTAATTATCTTGTTCATTGAATACATTAAGGCAGTCACAAAAAAGTTTGAAAAGTAATTTTGTACTTGAACCATTCTTTTCTTGTGTTTGCTTTACTTTGATAGAGAAGGACTGACCACATATCTAAAGCTTTAATTATTTAGGGATGAGGTGGAGGGGATTTGACCAGAACGAGTAAAACCTGTATCCCATTGTCTTCCGTTGAAGGTGGGTAAATCCCCACCCACATGGCATCTTAACTTGGCCTCCTCTTACTCAGAATTTCTGATGACATCCAAGGGGTTGGGGAGGAGCAAGGGTGGTTTTCAATGTAGTTTTCAAATGTCTGACCTGCAGCCCCTTAAGAGTAATTGATTTTCTTTTCTTAATTGTGGTAGGAAAATTCTTCTCATGCCTTATTTTAGTTAGTAACCTAATCTTTTGGTAATATATTATTATAGTGAGTTGTTGTTTGTATTTTCCCACTTTTCAGCATTTCAACTATGGAAGGAAGCAATGACCGTGTACAAAGTAATTTGGTACTCTGGTAGTGTGTCTCTTCATTGCATAGTACACATTATGCCTACCTGAATCAAATGGGCAAGTTGTGATGCTGATAAGGGTAATTTGTTCTGAGGGAGCTGATGAAAGTTGCTCTTTGGGAAGTTTGCCATTTTTTAGATATTTTCTGTATCATTCAGTTTAAATAATTGATAAACAATTATTGAGTGCTAAATAAATGTAAAATGCTGTGGAAGATTTGAAAATTAAACAGCATAGTCTCATATTTAAAGAGATTTTCTGTTTAAATATGGGGAATGAACCAAGATATTCAAAGCAGAGAAATTACAGAATTAGCTAATTTGGGTGGTGGTGGTGATGAGCTTAAAACTTCAAAGAAAGGAGAAGTCTAGAGAGGTTTTGTGGAGGCGTGGAACTTGAACATTTCTTGAGGGCTGAATAGATTTTAGATAAGTAGAGGTTGTATACATGAGGAAAGGCCAACTAAAAGTGATCTTAATGATAATTCTGGCTGAATTCATTTATTTTATGAATGAGAAAACTGAGACACCGTTAATTTAAAAGCAACCTGCCTAACCTTTTACAACCAGGTGAGGCAGGATATGAGTCAGCTCTTTTAAGAGTCCTTCTAGTCACTGTATACACTGAGTAGCTTTTGTTTGGACTAAATAACTAAGAAGAAATCCATCCTATATGATAATTCAGTGCAGGACAAAGACAAAAAAGAAGTAACCTGATGCAGGGCCTGGTCCATCTCTGATGTCTAGTGTGCATTGCAGACAGAGGATGTGTGAACATCAAGCCCTTTGCTGGCCTTCAAGTGCTGGATCACTCCTCATTCTTGGTTACCACATATTTAACGACCATTTCTCACTTCTCCTTTGGAGCTGAAGTCACCGATTCAGATGCCTTCAGTGACCATTAGGTACCCCAAATGAGTAAAGCAGACTAGACACTATGTCACAGGGGCTGAAGGTGCTGGATTGTACTGAGCTGAGGGTGTTAAAAGGGCTCAGTGTTTTCCTGGTTCAGCTGATTGTTGTCAGTTGAACCTGCAGGGGCCCAGTGTTGTGCAATCTTCTAATTTTTCAAGAAATGCTGTAAATCAAAGATTTTTACATGAGCTTTCTGATATTTGTTTGTTGGCACCTAACTAAAAATTTCAGTAAACATTTTGTGGACATTGAAAAATTCTTTGGGCCTGAGTTAGCCCTCAGCTTTCTAGTTTTCAACCTCTGCTTTAGTGATTTCCAGTGTAGAAGGCCGTTCTATTTTATACATGTCTTAGTAGTTTTGTGAGTTATTTCTTGAAGCACCTGTAAAATAATTCCTACTTATGTCTTAATACAAGGCAATGACTTCTGTTATGAAAAGAGGATAGAGAACCTTATAAATATGGCAGAGAAGCTCTCTGGAAGAATTCCCAGGTGGGAATTCTCTCTCGCTGAAGCTCCTTGCCCCCATTATGTTTGACCCTGCACCATTACACTTGTCTTCTTTCAAGACTGTGCCTAGTCCTGTGCAAAAATCTCCTCCTTTCCTTGGACACAACTGAAGTAGGAGCTTGATGGTTTTAAAGGAACTTTGCTAAATGTTTATACAGAATAAAAGTGAAATAACAGGAGGGACATATGTATTTGTTGCTTAAACACAGATTTTAAGCTGAACAATCATGTGTGATTATTTTTAACTCCATTCCATTCAAGTGTAAGAAATGTCACATGGTGTTATTATTATCATTATCATAATTATTGCTAAATCTGGCTCTAAGCCCCCATCTCACTGTGTGGTAGAACAATAAATCCATAGGTTTTATAAAGGACCCAGAATATTTGGGGTGGACTCTCTCTGGTCTATGTCTATCACTGCTGATATAATCCATTGGAAGCTCAAGAATTTCCCTTTAAGGAAGTGTTTGAGATTGGGTGCAATCTAATGAAGGAACCAGGGGATCTGAATTAAAGCTGGGTTTACATAGTAAACATACTGGTTTTACTTAGATTATGTGTTTATTTGGCCCTGAGGTTGAGGGTGGCATTGACAGGGATTATGAGAAGCGAGGCTGCAAATTTCCCTAGCCACCGCTTGGCACTGAAACATTTATGATGATTGTCTACATGATTTCCTGAAATGTATAGCTCACCTGGGAGCTGTGGTACCATGCCCAACTCTCCTCTGCAGGTGTGCACTTTCCTGAGGAGCTGAAAAGACAGTGGACCTTCCTGGGACTGGCAGCCTCTGCCCTTTCCCAATCTTGGGGGTAGCTATCCTAACTCTAGACTACTATCTGTACACTCTCCTAGTCTCCAGAGTTCTTTCTCCTCCTAGTACCTCTGGTTCTTTTGTGATCTAAGACTAAGGAAAGTATCCCCCTCCCCACCTCCCACTCCCTTCCACATCCTCCCCTCCAGTTCAAGTTCCTTTTTAACTCTTGGTGGTGCTCTGTAGGTGAGGTGTGCGGGAATATCTTTCACTGTTTCAGATATATTGAAAATACAACTCTGGCTTCCTAAGAGATATCAGTCTTGACTAACACCTTTTTGGGCATCTTTCCTTCTTTGTTCCTTGCCTTTCTCTACCTAAGAGCAGCCTCTAGGAAGTTGTATGTCCTTTGAAAGCAAAAGACTCAAGGTTAACTCTCCTGCGCACCAAGAAAACTCTCTTCTTCTGTACTGTTTGAGAAAAATGTCCTGTCCACAGAATTGTACAATATTGTGACAAAAGTGATCCTTTCTCCCACATGATAATTGTCTTTAAGGCATTTGGCATAGTGCAAAGTGCCCTGAAAGGTGTCAAATAAGATCTGAGAATAAGAAACGGTGGTAAAGAATGACCTCACAACCCTGTTTCCATACTGTTTTATACTAAAAAGGAGCATATGTATTTCTGAGTAAAATGAGGAGGTAGGAAGAATAGATGGGGCAGAATGCCTCTTCAGCTTTTCACTTTTAAACATGCTAATAGTGAACCAAATGCCATCAACATCAAAAACATTGCTGATTAATAATAGCTTATTCCTGATGGGGCTTTGCAGTTTAAAAACAATTAAGTTACATTATCTTTTTGAATTTTCTCTCTATTCTGTGCGATAGTTGTTTTATATTCAGTTTACCTTTAAAGGTAACTGAGTCTCAGAGAGGCTGTGTATCACCCAACTGGAAAGTAACAGAGCTTGGTCAGAACCTAAAATTTCCTTTTCCAAATCTAGCACTTCTATTTTGAACATGCCTCT